TTACTATGGGGGATGAATTACTATATGGGGGATTAATTACTATGGGGGATAAATTACTATGGGGGATGAATTACTATATGGGGGATGAATTACTATGGGGGATGAATTACTATGGGGGATGAATTACTATATGGGGGATGAATTACTATGGGGGATGAATTACTATATGGGGGATTAATTACTATGCTTACTATGGGGGAATATTACTATACTTACTATGGATGACACATACACATCATTCATCTACTCTTGGTCCGGCCCCCGGGTCCAATATATGAACCCATTGCAGCCCTCAAGTCAAAAAGTTTTTCAATAAATTTTTTTAACATTTTCTAATGGTGGTGTGCCTCGTGATTTTTTTCATGAAAAAAGTGTGCCTTTGCACAAAAAAGGTTGAAAAACACTGACTTATTGTATATAAATATTAATATATTTTTGATAGTGTGACGACTATACTTACACCGATCCTATCATGTTAAGAGAACTTCTGCATAGGCAAAAAGCATTTGGAATAATTAATTCAGTCAGTTAAATTATTTAAAAAAATTATTTTTGTATTGGAGGCACTGTGGTCCATCAATCAATTAAACGATTGATTTAGCTGACTAAATTAATCAGACAGGCATTCCATGACAATTAACAGGTCATTGAAGAGACAGTATGGAGATCAGATATATAGGAGAGGTGGAGGCGAAAGTGTTAAAAATTACATTTATTCAATAGTTCATTTTTCTTATCCTTCCTCTGTTGTAAAACAATCCAAAGTCCAATACCGCACAGTAGTAAGGGGGAACTTGACGATACAACATAAGTCTTATATACATTTTCCTCTTTCAGCAGCTGACCGCAAATCATTACAAGAGAATGTATACTGAAAAACAAAACAAAGATGGAGTGCTTCTAAAAGTATCAATAGGTGAACGGGAAACCTAAAATCATTGTATACATCTCATCATGGTCAGGGGCTGGGAAAACACCAATTTGTGTCCCGGCTACATAGCAAGAAACCATAGTCGACTTTCAAGAGGTCTTCAACAACGCATCCTATGGTTGGATGTACCATGCTCAACAACAATGCTGTTGGATAATGGGAGTCCACACAGTGCAGAGTAAGGAGGTGCATCACAATAATTGTAGATAAAAGTTCCAAAGTTATTAAAATCCATACAACTTGACATGTTTCAGAGCATCCATTGCTCCATCTTCAGGAGTTGATACATATTAAAACAAAGCATGGACTTATACATCCAAGACCATTAAAATGGCACACCCCACTGTGATGGATTTACCAAGAAACACCTAATAATTAACCCTAGTTATTCCAAAACACATACTATAATTACAAGATTGAATTACAAGTTTAATTTGAAACTCTCAATCATCTCATTCAAATCATCTGGAATTTAGCAATTCGCCTGTATGTCCATATATTCTCTAAACAGCACAGACTATTAAATCTCTCTGAACTGTATAACTCTGGAACTAATTGTAGAGATGTCACTTTGATAGCAGCAGAATTTCAAATTGTGATATGACAGATAGGCCCTGATTTTACTAAGAACTGAGTCTACCAGCAGACGTTGAACATTCAGGCAGACTCAATTCAATCAATCAAGACCTGCCAGTCTTCAGAAAGGCGTCCAGCAAGCTGATTAGAAAGAGTCTACTTTCTAGACTCTTTCCTGTTTGCAAATACGAAATGACCTTAGACACATTTCTAGATGCAATGCCGGATATATTCGCTAGGTGGAGCACAACTGTGGGCTTTGTCCCATTGGCGTTTATCTGTTTGCATATGAGAATACTTATAATTTAAAATAAAAAGCACAACTATATTATAATTTTTTTTTTGTTGCTGTTTCTCCAAAAATGATCGGCCAACTAATGCATTTCCTAATGAATATCATACATTCTATTTTCAAATGTCAAACATTTTCACACTTACATCTCATGAATGTCTAGTTCTAATTTCCCAATATAATTATATAGCTTCATTCTCTTTAATCATTTAACTATTCTACATTCCAGATCAAACTCTGTATCCAACAGTGGCTTAGTGGTTAGTACTCAGAACTTACAGCACTTAGGTCATGGGTTCAAATCCCAGTCATGGCTGCACCTGTCTGGAGTTTGCATGCTTTCTCTGCACAGGTGTGTTTATGCCAACACTCCAAATACATGCTGTTAGGTTAATTGGGCCTAGTATATATCTGAGTTTCTGGCCTTAGATTGTAAGGCCTTGACATTTGTGAATGCCCAAAATATGGAGATCGATTTTCAGGGTACTGTCAGTGCCAGGAATATTGATCAATCAATTAAGATTTTGGCTACTGACTAGAAAGTGGAAAGGGAGTGAATCTTACCTGTGGCCTGTTCTTCTGACAAGTTTGAAACTTTCAATTTTCCTTCCTTTTATATTTCATTGCAACTTTGTTTCTCTTTGCTACGTTAACACTAGCTTTATCAGCAGGCGTCAGACAGGCGTTTGGGAAGAGTTTTTAACATTTCTCAAAGGCCTATGAAAATTCTGCACATGGCAGCACACAGTGCTGTTCACACTAAAGCGTTAGCATTGCATCGAGGCAAAACTGGCGCCTCTTGTCGAGTCAGGAGATCTTGAAGCCTCCCATTCAAGTCTATGGTGCCACTCCTCAAATGCCTGGCAGGCATTTGTGGTGTGGTTGCGAGGCATTTGTGGAGTGTTAATACCATTTAACATCATTATAGGCCTTTGTGGTGCAGTTTTAAGGCTTGGCAAACGCCTATAAAATGCCTCAAAACCGTGCATAGGGCGTTTGAGGAGCGTTAAAAACGCTTCCCAAACGCCTGTCAAACGCTATAGGGGCATTTGGCAAGAGTTAGAAATAAAGTCAAGTGTGAACGAGCCCTTAAACCTCTCTCCTTATACAACTTGACCCCTCCCCCCCCCGTCATCACCTGTTTCATCTGCAAATCTATGTATTACCGCCCCACTCTTTTTATTTAACTATTTATTTACTGATCAAGTTAATGTGTCTCATTTCCTATCACCTACAGCTCATATCTAGCATTATTATACGATTCCTAATTGTATCTCACCACTAGTCTGATTGAATTCACAATTCCTGGTCAGTCCAATTCCCTTACCTATAATAACCTTTAGGGCCAGTTCACACTACATGTGTTTCAGTTGCTTTTTCTGCATCCAAAACGCACAGAAAGAAGGTTATATGGTTGTCAATGTCATAGTTCACATAGGCGCTTGCAGTTCCAGTGCATTGCAGGTGCTGCCAAAAAAGTCGAACAGGCTACATTGTTTATGCATAGAACTGTACTGGAACACGGTAAAACGCCCTGTAACACACTAAAACACACCTAATTAAGTTGAAGAAAAAGAAAGGGGAAAAATAACTGAAATGCATAAAAAAATGCACTGGAACACGTCAAAATGCATGCAAAATGCACTGGAACATGCTAAGCATGCATCAAAAAAGTATTTGGAACACATCCAGACTGTGTTTCTATAGTGTGAACTGGCCCTTCGGACTTGTTCACACCATTTGTGGTGCAGAAACGCATGCAAGAGCATGCATTTTCCTGCACAGCAAAGAAACGCAATGCCCTTTTTAGATGTGCGCAGGTACCATGATGAAAAGCCAATTGCACTTCCACACATCTAGTAAACACAGACGCATTCACAGCCACCAAAACGCATGGTACCACACTACTGTGCGGTTAGGTGCAACACTCTTTTAAAATAATATGCCTGCAGTATTTTTTCATGTTCCCACATGTTAGGCAGCCCATTGAAATTAATGAGCTGAGGAAAAAAAAGTCAAAAATGCCACATTCACACAGGTCCTCTGGCCTGTACAGCATGAATGAGTGAGTTGTTCTTCTGGCTGGAGCCACCTTTTACACTATGGGAACACAGCAGCTGTATGAACACAGGTTTTAATCTGACAGGTGTGAAGGTGTGGGGAAGTGGCCCTGAATGCTCACTGTACATTCACATGTACATATACAGGGCTGTATACCTGCACCCATATGCTTGTCAAATTAGGACCTGCAGCATTTCTATATTGTAACATAGGTTGCCTGCAAATGGCGACAGCCACAAAAACAAACCACTGATTCACACTCTACAGGCCACAGCACCCATATGAATGAGCCCAAGACCTCAATTACACACACAGCTTTATTTATGAACTCAGTACAGTTTTATCATTTAGATTTAACAGGAATTTGGTTGGGATTATGTCCATTAATAATGTTTTAGTGTATTTTTACCATAAATATAAATTTGGATATTTTCTCTGGCGGTGGGAAGCCGTCAGATATGCTGTATGGGGCCCCGTGATATCTAACAGTGGCCCTGGGTGTATGCTTGTGTCTGTGCCACCTGTATGGTTAGGAAGAACAATAACTTCTTCTATGGAATACCTTGAACCTCTGCTATTTACCTCAATGTATCTAGGAATCGGACATGTTTTCAACTGAAAATACAATTATTAGTAATGTTTCCCCTGAAAATGAGGATCCGCACCTTGGTCGAGAACAGCGATCTCGCCATGTCCAGATGTGATCTGGAATTCCACAAAAGAACAATTCACAAAGCCAAAAAATAGATTTGCAAATTACCAATAAACTCTCCTAACTACACTCCCATCCACTAACACTCCCCACTACCACTTCCGGGTATGTGCGCTCTATTGTGTATTTGGCATTGGTGAATATATGTTTGCCAGTAAAGGCCCAAAGTCAACATAAATTGAGGGCCTAATTTATTACTGCTAAGAGGATTGTAGAAAGAATAACTAGCTCCACATTGAACATGACCTATTCATTGGCACATAACATGGTCTTGTGGTGCAATAGGGGGCTTTTGGTTTGTTAGTTTGGACAAACTTGCATATGTTCACTCTAACAAGCTAGATTTGGGCATATTATATAGCTCACAAAATATAAGTGTTAGGGGTGCTAGAATATTGAACATGAAATAACCCCCCCCAAAAAATATAGTCCAAACCAGGGACGGACTGACCATTTGGAAATTCGGGCACTGCCCGAGGGCCCAGGGTCAGTAGGAGGCCCCATGAGATGCACCTGGTACCTGTTTCATAGGCTTTTTTGAGTTTGGGCAAGGACACAGGGACCCCATGATCCCCTATTGCCAGGGGCCCCATGAGTTGTCAGTCCACCCCTGGTCCAAACATTTATTGATCAAATACATAGTCCACATTTATTTGGACAGCGTCAACAAGTAGGTACAGTCAACTTCTTGGTGGGAAAAAAAAAAGAAAAGCAGGATTGATGTTGCTAAAACAGAACGGTCCTGCTCATAAGAGCTTACTATCTAAAGATTACACTTCTAATGAACTGTGCTTTCACAGGTTACAGCAGGAAACAAAAGGTTAATATGAATCAAGCAACATTTTCAGGGCCATAATATTAACACACATCATCACTTAGTAGGATTATCTATCCACAAAACAGGCTGCAGATCAAAATATCAATATAAAAATACATAAAGTACCAAAATAACAAATGCCTCCCACCTCCCCAAATCCTAAAACTGCATTTCAGTTTAAATAAGCAAACTATAGCCAAGTGCATATTTGGAAGAGCAGATCAATTGACATGTGTACATGGATTACAATGTAAAGATAATAAACACACAATCATTGTACAATAATACACAAACACACTTTAGAAGGAAAAAAAAATGCAAAACATTTACAGCCCACATCAAAACACAGCCGGGGCCTGGGGCAATTCAGCACAATATCTCTTCCCTAGGTCCGCGCAAAAGAAATCACTATGGGAGTGGATACGGCCATGTTTACACTCCCAAAAATATGCCCTTACCATTTTCAACAGCTTGCCCCGGGTGCACCACAGGTCCCAGGTGCTCAGGTTACCATGGGCAATGGGAACCCCTACAATGGTACTGAAACATGTAATAACCACTTAGGCCAGGTAGCTACACAGACTTTGCAAATTATCAATTCAATCTGGTATTTCTAACTCACACCTATTTCAAAAACACCCCTAGGATGGCTATTCCTCCGACACCTTCTCCGCACATTGCTAGCTCACAACCACTAACTTCTTCCACTCAATCACAGACTGGTTTTTTACCGGTAAACCCTTCAGATCTATTTACTAGAAATCTTATACTTTCAAATTTCTGTTTGACCCTGACAGGCAAAGACTGAGACAGGATAAAAAAAAAATTTACTGAGCGTATTAAGCACTTTACTATGGATAATAAAATACAGCAAAAATTGCAGCGCTTGAGTGTATAATAAAGGGAATTAACATATATATATATATAGCAGAATTAAAAGGAAAAACATTCATTTTATGACATGCACCAGGTTTAACGTTCATAAATTAATGTAAACAATGGTCAGGTAGGCAATAAAGATTCATCCAACCAATCAAAGTGCCTATAGTGATAGGGATGTTAGAGTCATTAGATTTGGGGGTGCATCCAAGTGACAAGCAAATCCGTGACTTCCGTGATAGGAGAATAGCTGTAAAGTGCACTAACCAGATAGCGCAAGTAAACGCGCATTGGAGTATAATGACCTACTCCTGGTCACAGCCAAATGGCCCTCAGCGTAAAGCCCTCAGGAACACCAGTGCACCACTCTTGCCGTCTCCTACCACCAGGGGGGAGTGCGCCTCTTTACGGTAACACGAAATAGCCTTATATCCTCTATCGCCAGGTTTGGTGTGCTTTCATATCAGGAGATCATCTCAGGGACTCGGCAATAAGACCCAAAAGAAAGAAATCTTGATAGTGTAGTATTTTTATTCAAAAGATAAAAGCAAGTAGCACACTTACATGGTAATGTCCAAAAAAGCTGATTCACAGAATCCAAAAAGATGGCCGACAGTCAGATGCATGAACCAAGTAGATAACAAGTGGTATGAGAGGTGTCCTTATCCCTAACGCGTTGTGTGGCAATGGCACATTATCAAAGGGAATGTGCCTCTCAACCCAGGTCCCTTATTTATAGAGAGGACCTCTAATTGTTCAAAAGACGCATTATCGCGTCATTTTAGCGCTACTGCGTATGCGCGAGGCCAAGACACCCGCGCATGCGCAATGCAAGGCTGCCGCGTCATCGCGGTTATCTCGCGCATGCGCAGATCGTATCCAGCGGCCATTTTATTGAAGTCCAGGATATGCAGAGCCAAAACAAGCGATCCTCAGCACAGAAAGAGGGGATTTGGATAGGAGAAAACCCTCCTTACAAATACTTCTATGTTGAACGATCTCAGCATCACAACAATCATTAGGGGAGGGTGATGCAGAGATATAATTAATATGCAGAGAGGTAAACCACTTAAGGTGCTGCGTGTTAACATTGAATATTGGTGTTGTAGAACTACAAGTACCAGCCCCCTATGTCCATGCAAAACTGCCAGGGGCCATCAATATAAACTTAATAAAAACAGAGCTAAGGCTGCATAAAACAGGAATGACATGAAAGGATAATTAGAGCCGACAACACTTTAAAAACACAATAAAACACAACTAATGTAATGTGCAATATGCAAAATATAAATGGTTATTTAAATAAGGTAATATTCATACAAATATGAATAATATTGATAATGATCATAAACATTATATTAATGGTCATAAAAAATAATAAAATAAATAAAGATAAAATTACCAATACCAAAATAACCCCTAGGACATTCCCAGGGAAAATGTGGTAAAACAAATGCAACCCAGTATAAATCGCTGGGGGGTGTTGACAATACCTAACCATGTAAAACATATACACATCATAAGCTGTGTATAAAATAAAATAAAATAAAATTAGAGGATAAACGGTGCAAGGTGAATAAACCGTTGTAAAGAAATAAGTTGGTATAATCCAGCTAATCACTAGAAAGGGGAAAAAAGAGGGGGGGGGGAGGGAAGAGAAGCCCCTTGAGGTAAGATAATGATGTATATTGACCATAGTTTCCCGAGGAAAACCCTATTGATACATTAATGTAGATCCTCGTTCAAACTGTTAATAAAACGTACATACTGGATAATTGCTGGAATGAGGCAAGGACAACCCAAATGGATTTAGCTGGTATCCAAAAAGCAATTTATATCCACATCAATATTTAACCCATGTGGGGCAAGTGTTCTTAATAAAAAAAATCCATTTGGTTTCAAGTTTCGAAACTGCTCTTAACTTGTGTACTCCTCTCCAGTGTCTATGTATTGTGTCAATTCCTATAAACCTCAGGCCATGTGGGTTCTTGTTGTGTGCTTGACGGAAGTGCAAGGAAAGTGAATGTTCCTTGAACCCCTTGTCAATATTCTTCAGGTGTTCCCTCAATCTATCACGAAGTCTCCTAATAGTCCGTCCCACGTATTGCTTCCCACATGCACACTCCAGCAGGTATACAACATGGGTACTATTGCACGTGATGGTAGACTGAATTTCATATGTTTTACCAGTTGTGTTGGAACTAAATGTGGTTACCGGATATTTATGAATTCCATTATTAGTGCATAGCATACATCTATTACAGGGGAAGAAACCTTTGCGGTTGAAGAAGAAGGAAAGTTGTTTTGGTGGATTAACAATGTTAGGGGCCAAGGTGTTTCTCAAAGGAGGTGCCTTACAGTAAGTGATTTCGGGGGCTTCCGGTAAATGGCTCCCCAACACCGGATCGTTTTTAAGAATTTTCCAGTTCTTCCTGATAATACTAGCTACATCCCTAAATTGAGTGGAAAAGTCAGTGATGAAAGGACAGTATCTCTCAGTGGTGGTTCTTTGCTTAGTGATGATGAGACTATCCCTATTCATATCACCCACTTTGTCCCTCTCTACCTCAAGCATATTGGCGTTATAGCCTTTTTCAATGAATCTCCGCTTAAAGATCTCAGATTGGAGAACATAGTCCTCTTTTTTGTCACAGTTTCTATAGATCCGGGGGAACTGTCTCCTAGGTATGTTGCTCAACCATCTCGGATGATGACAACTATCTTTAGGGATAAAGCTATTACGATCTGATGATTTAAAATAACTCCTAGAAAATATTTTGGGGCCCTCAATGTATAATGTCAGGTCGAGAAAGTTAATTTCCTGATTACTATGTTGAAAGGTGAGTTTGATATTAATATCATTATAGTTCAGTGTGGTAAAGAAGTTGTTCAAGGTGAATTCATCCCCTTCCCATAGGAGTAAGATGTCGTCGATTTACCGACGGTTTTAAAACAATAATTGTGGCCACTCCCTAGAATAAATGAGATCCTCCTCCCATCTTGCCATAAATAAGTTGGCAAGACTCGGAGCAAACTTCGCGCCCATGGCGACCCCAGTGATTTGTAGGTAGAACTTATTACTAAACCAAAAATAATTGTGGTTTATAGTATAGTTAAGAAGTTCTAATAGAAATGCCTTCTGTGAGACGGGTATATCATTAGCTGTATTAAGGTAATATTCAGCAGCGGCTAATCCGTCATCATGATTAATGTTGCTGTACAGAGCGCGACATCAGCGGTAACAAGAAAGGTGGGCTGCTTAAGAGTGACTTCTCTAATGTCTGCCAGTACATGTTTTGTATCTTTGAGGAAAGCAGGGGTAGTAGTGCAAACCAAAGGTTGGAGGAAAAAATCAATAAATTCACCCACACGAGAGCATAGAGAGCCGATCCCACTAATAATAGGACGGCCAGGGGGATTCACAGGGTATTTATGAACTTTTGGTAGACAGTATATGACCGGTAGTCTAGGGGCAGTGGGACACAGATAATCCTTTTCTTTACTATTAATAATCCCCTGTTCAAAACCTCTTTTCAATATTGCCTTTAAAAGTTTTTTGTAAGTAATAAGGGGGTTATTTGGTAACTCTTTATAGGTATTCCTGTCCTTCCCGATATTCTCTACCTGTGAGAGGTAGAAACGTTTGTCCATCACAACTACGCCTCCTCCCTTATCCGCTGTGACCAGGAGTAGGTCATTATACTCCAATACGCGTTTACTTGCGCTATCTGGTTAGTGCATTTTACAGCTATTCTCCTATCACGGAAGTCACGGATTTGCTTGTCACTTGGATGCACCCCCAAATCTAATGACTCTAACATCCC